CCATATATATATTTAACCGATTTAATGCAAAAGGTCCCTATATATCTTTCGATTTGCACGAAATTTGGTACAGCCTAATCATTTAGGTCTAGAATGATGTCTGCCAAGTTTCGTGGAAATCGGTCCAGATTTAGATATAGCTCCCATATATAGTTTGGTCCGATTTCATGTAAATGGTGCACTAAAGTCCCATATATCTTTCAATTTGCACCAAATTTGGCATAACGTACTGAATTGAGCCCAGAATTATGTCTGCCAAGTTTCGTGAAAATCGGTCCAGATTTAGATATAGCTCCCATATATAGTTTCGTCCGATTTCATGTAAATGGTGCACCAAAGTCCCTACATATCCTTCGATTTGCACGAAATTTGGCATCACGAACTGAATTGAGCCTAGAGTGATGTCTGCCAAGTTTTGCGAAAATCGGTTCAGATTTAGATATAGCTCCCATATATAGTTTCGTCCGATTTCATGTAAATGGTGCCCCAAAGTCCCTATATATCTTTCGATTTGCACGAAATTTGGTACAGCCTAATAATTTAGGTCTAGAACGATATCTGCCAAGTTTCGTGGAAATCGGTCCAGATTTAGATATAGCTCCCATATATAGTTTGGTCCGATTTCATGTAAATGGTGCCCCATAGTCCCTACATATCTTTCGATTTGCACGAAATTTGGCATAACGTACTGAATTGAGCCTATAATGATCTCTGCCAAGTTTCGAGAAAATCGGTCCGGATTTAGATATAGATCCCGTATATAGTTTCGTCTGATTTCAAGTAAATGGTGCACCAAAGTCCCTATATATCCTTCGATTTACACGAAATTTTGCATAACGTACTGAGTTGAGCCTAGAATGATGTCTGCCTTGTTTCGTAAAAATCGGTCCAGATGTAGATATAGCTCCCATATATAGTTTCGTTCGATTTCATGTAAATGGTGCACCAAAGTCCCTATATATTATTTGATTTGCACGAAATTTGGCATAACGTACTGAATTGAGCCTAGAATGATGTCGGCCAAGTTTCGTGAAAATCGATCCTGATTTAGATATAGCTCCCATATATAGTTTCGTTCCATTTCATATAAATGGTGCACCAAAGTCCCTATATATCTTTCGATTTGCACGAAATTTGGCATATCGTACTGAATTGAGCCTATAGTACTGTCTGCCTTGTTTCGTGAAAATCGATCCAGATTTAGATATAGCTCCCTTTTATTATAGATTGATGTTAAGTAATTGACGCACCAAGGAAACAATAGGCTGATAGGAACAAAACGTTCTGAAATTACTATAACCTAACATGTGACAAGTTTGTTTGAAATCGCTTAATATTTGGATAGAGCTTCCATATATATTTTCGTCCGATTTCAGTACATATTTTCGCCCGATTTCAAGTAAATTGGGCATCAAGCTCCTCATGTTAGTCAGATTGACATCAAATTTTGCACAACGTACAAAATTGAGCATAGAATTATGTAGTTGCGTTTTCTAGAAGTACAGACATAGCCCAACGGATGACCTATTTATATTTGTATGAAGTCGATTTACATACTTTATGGATAGATCTAGGTAGATTCACATTTAGATAAATATCACATATTTTATTTCATCCAATTTCAACCTATTTAATATACCCATAGTGGTGAAGGGTATCATAAAGTCGGCCCCGTCCGACTTTACTACTTTCCTTACTGGTTTAATAATACATGCCTCATTCAAGGACTCAAAAATCATTTTTAAAAAAATCTACGCCTGGTAGATTCTTAAATAATAGTTTTTAAAAAATCCACACTGATAGCTTCATAGAAAATATTATTTAAAAAATTCAAGCTTACTTGCCTGAAAGGTTTTCAAGAAATTAATTTAAATAAATCACGCTTATTGGTTTGAAATTTTCTCAAGAAATCTATTTAAAAATCCTCGCTTTTGGTCTGAAATTTCCCCAATAAATCTAATTCAAAATTCCACACTTATAGTAGGTCTGAAAGGTAGATCTATTTAAATATTCCTCGGTTATTGGTCTGATCAAGAGATCTATTTAAAAAATCGACGCTTATTAACGTCAAAGGTCTCCAAGAAATCGATTGAAAATAACCATACGTATTGCACGGAAAGGCTCTCAAGAAATATATTTAAAAATTCCACGTTTTTGGTCTAAAATGTCCTCTATAAATCTATTTTAAAAACACTCTTATTGGTCTGAAAGGTCCTCATGAAAATTCCCGTTTAATGTGGTACTATAGGTTCTCAAAAAATATAAAAAAATCTACGCTTTAAATAAAATTTTAAAAATACATACGTGTTGTGGTCTGCTAGATTCTCAAAAATATATGTTAAATATTCACGCTTCTTAGTCCTAACAGGCGCTGAAAAATATACTTATTTTAAAAAATTCACTTAGCCCCGATAAGCGTTCAAAACTATATTAACAAAATTAATTCTTAAAGATCCTCAACAATTTCCTCTTCAAAAACAACACTTATTGCTGATGGGCCATTAAAAATTGTCTCTCCAAAAACAACAACAAAATGGGACCCACCGATAAATCCTCAAAAACCTCCTATTAAAAATTCCATGTTTATTGGACCGACTGATAGATTCTCAAAAATATTATTTTAAAAAATTCCTCACTTATTGGGCCTACTGATTGATCCTCTTGGTAAGTCACCAAAAATTATTTAACGATATTGTAAAATTCGCTATTGTTAGGCCTATAAAAAACATACGTCTTTAGCTCTGATAGGTTCATTAAAAATCGACGCGTTAAGCACTACTGATAAATTCTAAAAAATATTCTTAAAATAAGCTGTTATAAATCTTGTAGGCGTCTTTAAGACTACTGATAGTTGTGGTAGGTCTTCAAAGTATTCATTGAAAATTTCATGCTGAACTTTGTTTGTTCCCAATGAAATCTTTAAGAAATCCAAGCTTATGGTTCTGTTAGTTCTAATCAAATAGTCAACTAAAATGTTGTTCTCTGCATTAGCTATTCGAATAGAGAAACGTTCTAATACGTATGTATGTTTGATTTTGCCATCATTCAAAAATACCGCTCTGCCTACCATCGCATGAGATCATTTGTTTTAGTTTGCTTTTGTTACTTATTCGAGCTGCCAGGTGGGGGAGGAATGGAATCTATTCAATAGATGACACACATAAGCATGTTTTTATTCGATTTGGATTTAGTTAATGAATAACAAAATTTCATTGGAAATCATTTTCATTACATTGGGAAATAAAAGATAATTTTTGTGGAATGACCAATGATCTCGAAATGTTCACAAAAATTAAAGAAATTGGTTTCCTTAATCTTTTTTGTATCCGGAGACCTCAAAAAGATTCTCAGACTTAGTTGCAATGTTCTCGTCATGCTAATGATCCTGTGTCATAGTCGACATCAGATTCTCTACTGCATTTTTGACACATGGATACCACAAACAATATTCTTAAACAAATACATATATTTCTTCTACTGTTGTAGATCTCAACTACGTTTGGAACTACTAACTCATTGACGTTCCAATTCGCCTTTAAAATTAATTCGGTTCCGGTCCATCGAAACAAGAACGGACGAACTAATAAGTCAATATATACAAAACCACTATAAAAATGCTCCGTCCCATATTTTATGATTGTGGACGAATTTTCCGACTAAAGTGTCTAAAATTTGGCATTCCGGATACATGAAGGAAAAAAACTCTCTAACATGTTCCATTTTGGGAAGTTGTAGCCTCATTTGCAAACGAAGGACCAGTAATTTGACATTCTGTCTTCTTTTTTGTGGGTAACTAATTTCTTAACCGAAAACTTGCCAACAGAGGTGTTTTGCGATAGCCGCAATAAAAATTTTCCAATCAGCATGTATGTAATTACAAATAGTGTTCCAAATTACAGACACTCTAGTTGAAAAAACTTAAACATGACTTATACATATATAAATTATAGCCACTTCCATGAGTAAAATCCATTTAAGATTTATTAATATTAAACCTGTAAGGAAAGAAAGAAGTTAAATTATAGCCACTTCCATGAGTAAAATCCATTTAAGATTTATTAATATTAAACCCGTAAGGAAAGATGAAAAGTCGGACAGGGCCGACTATATGATACCCTTCACCACATTGGATACATACAAGAGATGTTAATATATACAATATCCTGTAGATAGAACACCCAGAGCATCTTTGGAGGACCATTCAGATGGAATCGGGCCAAAATTAATGTGTGATATAAAAGCTCTATGTCAAATATTGCGATCTCTATCGTGATTTCAATAGACATACGGACAGATGACATAGAATTTTATTCTGATAATGATTAGGTATATATACTATATGGGTTAATTAATATACACTTCACCTTATGGGGGATGGTATAAAAACTCCATTATTGAATGACATTGCACCCATATAAGGCCCTCGAGGGTTTAAAAAGTACGGCCAGGCCGTATACAGTGATACGCTCATAACGAAAAAGGAACTTTTCTTATACCGAACACATTTCCGAGTTTTAAGACATATTTTTCATACAAATCCTTACTCGCATAGCGAACATCTTCTATAACGAACTAATTTGCTTGGTCCCTATAAGTTCGCTTTAACCGTACTCGACTATATTTTATTTACTTAATAATCGGTCCATGCAGTTTTAAAAAATTACACAAATATTTTTTATAAATTTTTATTGATAATATCATGGTAATTTATATAAAAAATATGTTTATTTATGTACATCATATGTACTCTAATATATATGTTTGTATGTATAAAATGTTAAACAATGCGATAACAATATCGTAAGAAAAATTTTACTGTCTAGTAGCCGTGTGAAGTTATTAACAAATTGTTAATGATGTTTTGTATTTCCATAACACAAAGGCTCTAGATGCCATATCAAGCTCAGCTTGCTATAAGGAAACAAAACAAGGAAATACAAATTTTAAAAAAAATAATACAAAAATTATTTATGGCAATGCAAAAAAATATGCACATAAAATTATTTCTTCTCTTGCTTCAATTTATCATCACCGATTTTATAAAATTCCTTGATTTTAGGATCTTCCATGTCATCGAAATAATCTGATTCCTTGGCCCAGATAAGACCCAACTCCTGATCGACAATGATTTTCCAAAAATCAACCATTTTACGTTTAATTAGCTCATCACGAACTTTCGGAATCCAATCATTGTAATCGTATGGCGATTGGAAACAGGCATCTCTCTTATAGGCCAACAATAATTCAGCTGCCTGTTTGCTTCGTTTTTCCGACAAGGTAGCTTCATCGAATAACAATTTCCACAAAATTGTACGAACTTCGGTGAATATTTTCGTAAAAGCATCTTCATCATCAGGATCAATGTCGTTTTGAGCTGCCATATTGTGTTTGTAGTCAGCCAAGGCATTATCTAAACTGATTTCCTTTAAGGTGGCCGTTGACCCAGCTGTTGTGGTGCTGGGGGATTTGGGTGAAGCTGCGGTGTTTGCAAACAGATCTGGTGGCATTACTGTGGGCTTTTCCTTTTTCGACAACCATGGAGCCTCACTATCAGCATGTCGATAAAATTCGGCCGGTTCTGGATCATCGGACTTATCAAAAAAGTCGCAATCTCTTGCCCACAATGGACCCAACTCCTTGGCCACCACTTCATTTTTCCAGAAATCCAAAAGTTTTCGCTTTAACAACTCATCTCTAAATTTATAAATCCATTTATTGTAAAAGGTGGGATTTATAAATCCACTATCGTCTCGATATTTTTTTAACAAGGCACTTGCTTTAGCCGCATCATCTTTACTGAGATTATTCGAGTCGAAGACAATTTTCCACACACAACCACTAACAGCTTCCGAAAATTCCAACCATATTTCCTCATGATCTGTAGAGTCGACATCGATTTTGCTATCCATCGCCTCTTCATAGTTGTGTAAAAGTTTATCCATCGGCAGGGATGGATTAAATTCGGAAAATTTCACTCCTTGAGATTCTTTGGACGACATTGTTGCAAATGATGATTTGGAGTGCAGTTGAATGTTTTTTTGTTGCACCACCACGGCAGCCGGTGTTGAAATTGTTGTTGAGTTGATTCTAAAACGGTTACAGTGAGTCACTACAGCAAGACGCAACAAACGGCCAGCTTTTGTCAACATTGCGAACTAGGGATTCGTACGGCGATATTCAACTGAATTTAATAATTGGTAGTGAAGGTAGCCAATACGCCATATGTTATTTTGGCGGTCAAAACACGTGTTTTAGGAAAATATGTTATTTATTTTAAAATGAAGATACAGATTTTTAATTTCAATAAATAGTATACCCTTGCAGGTCCTGGAAATGTTTTCTGAATACAATACAAAATTATTGTAAACCCAGTAATAATCTAAAATGTTGGTCAGTTGATTTATAAACAGCTGTATTATGGGTACTTGAGTAATTTTTTGCTCGGGAAAAGATATCGATAAATAGTATACGATTGTAGGTTTTTGAAATGGTTTCGGAATATAATACAAAATTATAGTAAACCCAGTAGCCAATAGGACATTTGATTCTTTGGCGGTCAAACACCTGTTTTAGAAAAATATGTGATTTATTTTAAAATGAAGATATTTTGCATAAATCAAAAATTGTAACAGATTTCGATAAATAATAGAGGCTTGCAGGTTCTGAAAATGGTTTCTGAATATAAAACAAAATTATAATAAACCCAGTAAAAATATAAAGAACATTGGTCAGCTGATCTATAATCAGCTGTCTTATGAGTATTTGAGTAATTTTTTGCTCCGTTCCACAACTGCAAGAACATAAAGAGGATATTCGATCAATAAAATAAAATGATTTTGTTTTTAAAATGGCAAGCTTAAAATAGTTTAAAACAAGTAAAAAATATAAAGTTCGGCTTGACAGAAGATTTTTTACCCCTTCGAAAAGTGATGTGCAATCAAAATTTCTTAAAAAGGTACAGACTTTAATGGGGAAATTAAATACGAAATTGCAGACACTTAGGTTGAAACATCAATGTTCCAAAAATCAGGCGGGTTCACCTATATTCAACATAGTTTGGGAAAAATTTTTTTTATATATTGAGAATCTGGAATGCTAAATTACAGCCATTTCGGTGGCATATTACTCAAAAAATCCTTAAAATACCAAAAATGTGGCAGGATCTTTATATGAGTGTTATGTAAAAACCTGGTCTTATATCGTCAGCTTTCTATGAATAAGTTATTCACCATTATTTATCCCAGAATACCAATTTTGTGGGGAATTACAACTGAAACCTTTAAAATACTAAAAATAGGTCTCGACCTTAATTCCTAAATTCGTAAAACTTATCTTTCTTGAACACAGAATGCCAAATTATAGCCACATCTATAGGGAATTACAGCTATAGCCTCCAAAATACGAAAATGGTTCTTAAAATACCGATATCGAGGCGAGATATTTATATGGGTGATATGTCAATACCTAGATCTATATTGACAAACTTCTTCATCCCTTATTAATCCCAAAGTGCAGCCACTTCTGTTGTGAAATGAGTCAAAAGCCTTCAAAATACTAAGGAGAAGCGGTGCGGAACATTTAAAAATATGCTTAAAATCTACGCTCTAATAGACGTTGAGAAAACATTCTTAACAGAATCTACATTCTGAATGTCCTTTAAAACATATTCTTTAAAAATCCACGCTGTAATAGACTTTGAAAAAAAATATTCTTCAAAAAATCTATCCACAAATAGTCCTAAAAAATTAAATTATACAGAGTTCTGTGCAACTCTGTTGGTTGTTAGACACCAAATCACAGGGTGACCTAGAAAAAAATAAAAATGAATTTGTTGATTAATCAGCTGTGGCAACTCATGGCAGGGCTGGGAAATTTGCAATTGCCGGCATAATTTCACAATTTTGTTTATATGAGCTGCGTTTATTTGTTGATTGCTGCATTCCAAAACAATTGTTTAAAACATATAAACAAATGGCTTATAACAAGGTAAATATACTAATAAATTAATAAAATATTTGTAAAATAAATAATTTTTAATCATTAATAAATAAATGCCTTTATAATACAGGAATACATGATATTAATATTGGATGTGCGTCGTACCGCCACGGAGGATTTTAAAGAAAAGGCCACGAAATGTTGCTCTGATATTATTAAAAGGAAGGTAGGTGATCACGTCATTCCTTAAATTTCTTTATTATAGGGTATCCTCCTCTTCTCCCCTCATTACAGATTTGTTCGGGCAAAAAGGATTATCTATCCTTTGTTTTAGTGGGCACCGATCGTACCTATAATGATGTGAATACAAATGATTGTCATGATGGCTATTTAAATATTGTCCAATATGCTGGTGAATTACAAATGCCCTCCTGGCAATTACTTATGAATTTTTATCAATTTGTTAATGAAACACCATCGGAGTGTGGCGAGTGGCTGGATGCTCTAGTGGTGGCCTATGGTATGCTGAAGAAGGGAAAAGAGTAAGTTTGAAATGGGATATTGTGTTTTATTGTTGTTGTTTATAATGTCTTTGTTGTTGTTGTTGTTGTTGTTGATTTCAGATCCGCCAAGTTCCAACGCCAGCGTTTGGTGTTGTTCTACGATTTCAATGATGGTTGTAATTCATATGATTCCTATAGCGATATAACGGAGACATTGCTAAGTAATAATGTGGATTTGATTGTGGTGTAAGTATAAGGAATAAGAGAGATCTAGGTATATTCAAGGCGTGGATTTTTTTTTTAAATATTTTTTCAATGACCTAAAAAATTTTATAACCTAAATAAAAATCTGATTTATTTTTCAGATCCCCCGATATTTGCTACATTGATAATCCCGACAATGATTATCTACCACAAGCCATCTTTGCCTCGGGCAAAAAATCCGCACAACGTATTGAAAATGAAAAATACGCATTACGCTTGGTCTCGGAATGTAATGCAACGCTCTGCAACTTCAACGAAGCTGTTCCGGCTGCTCTGCGTTTCAAAAATAATCGTCCATGGTGTTGGAATAGTCAATTGCGTATTGGTTCAAAAATCGTTATCAATATTTCCGGGGTAATTACGACGAAAGATGAAACTACCATAAAATTGAAAACAGTTTGGAATGAACCCGATGAGGTGTTGATACGTGAATGGGGTTATTTTTTAAAAGGCAACGAAGTCGAAGTGGATTTAGAAGAACTGATGGATGGTTATATGCTGGGCGGTTCAGCTATACCCTACGATGATAGCATGGATGATGATAAGTTGAAATTGGCACCGGGCTTAACGTTTATGGGCTTTATGGAACGTAAACATGTCCACAATAAATATTTTGCTGGTGAATCGACATATTTGATTTTACATCGGAGGGGTATGAAGTCTTCGGCTCAAAGGCTGGATGCATTGGTAAGGGCTTTGCTGGAAGCAGATCGTGTTATCTTGTGTTGGAAGGTGTATGGGGCCAAAAGTAAGCCGCATATTGTTGTACTTATTCCGAACGAGGTATGTTGATAATTTGATTTGTCTTGAGTATAATATCGATATTTTTTTTATTTTAGATAGAAGATAATTTCCCCGCCAGTTTGAATATGATGGAAATGGCCCATCATTCTCAGTATCATTTCTTTGAATTCCCCCGCCTGAGTACGGAACGTACCGACTGTTCGAAGGAACAGCTAAATGCCATTGACAATCTAATCGATAGCATGGATTTAACATTGAAGATACAAGATGCGGAAACCCCACGCAATACCTTTGAAAAGAATGCCCTACCATTTAGCCACTTGCCGCATATATTTGAGCAAAACTTTATGGATTTATTGGAACGTAAAATCCTATGTAAGGCCGGTGAAGATGATGAACAATTCCAGGAAATGTTAAAGGATAAGAATTTCGTGGAAGCCTTTTGGAAAATACCCGAAGCTATTGAAGAGAAGGCCAAAGCGGCTGCCAAAGAAGTTAAGAAACTGTTCCCCCTAGAAGTCAGCGAGGAATGGTTGAAACAATTAAAGGCCCATCAGGCCAAATTGGCTGCCAATCAACAATTGGCCAAAAATCTCAAAGAAGAGAACAACAATAACACCACTAAATTACCATTCGATAAGGTGGGCTCTAAAACACCTGCCGAGGACTTTGAAAAACTGCTCAAAGCCCATGTGTTTCCCATACAAGATAGTACACAACGTGATTTGAAATTTAATCAATATGCTCTGCAGTTGCGTTCGGTTGTAAAGGATTTAATTTTCAAAACGGAATCTCTGACATCGAAGGATTTTGATAAAATCACTGCCGCCATTTCGGTATATCGTAAACGTTGCTTCATTTTTAATGCCTTCGATGAATACAACAAATGGATCGTTTCCATTAAATCGGATGTGGCCAAACGTCATCTATCAGTATTTTGGAATAATGTCATTTGCAAACATGAGCTGGGCTTGTGTTTTATTGGCGAACCATCGTTGGATGAACAAATGAAGGAGAAGGATTTCTATAGCCTGGAATTTACGGATAATTTGGAACCCAAGGGACAATTGTCACAGGCAGAATTGGAAATGAATGATAGCGAAGTTGATGCCATGTTGGCCAATATGGATGCATAAGATGTGTTACATATGCATATTTTATATATATTTTTTGAATGTGTTTATCATATTTTTTAATAATAATTGTTGTATTTTGAAGATACAAAATGATTTTTCAATACAAATCAAATATCTCAGGACTTTCTATTGCCATCAAAAGTCTTTGGGGTCTTCTATAGACAATTGAATACCTTAGGGACATCTAATGATATTTGAAAGCCTCAGTGCCCATTTAAAGGCAAATAGTAGGTCTCAGTTTTTTCTAAATGCAATAGAAGACCTCATCGTATTCTATGGGCAATAGACGACTCCAGGATCAATACTCTAATATAAACAATAGCAAGACCTCAGTAATTTTTCTATGCATTTGAATACTCCTGGACCTATATATTTGACAATAAAATACCTCACGGCAATGGGCGATCTCAGGATTTTCCTTAGGCTATATAAGCCCCCTTGTTTTTTTCTTTAAAAAAATCCACGCCTTGTTGATGAAAAAATAATTCTTTTAAAAATCCACGTCTTGTTTGGTTGATGAAAAAAGTAATTCTTTTAAAAATCCACGCCTTGTTTTTGGTTCATGAAAAAATAATTCTTTTAAAAATCCACGTCTTGTTTGGTTGATGAAAAAAGTAATTCTTTTAAAAATCCACGCCTTGTTTTTGGTTCATGAAAAAATAATTCTTAAAAAAAACACGCTTTGTTTGGTTGATGAAAAAAGTAATTCTTTTAAAAATCCATGCTTGTATGGTTGATGAAAAAATAATTCTTTAAAAACATCCACGCCTTGTTTGGTTGATGAAAAAAATAATTCTTTTAAAAGTCCACGCCTTGTTTGGTTGATGATAAAATAATTATTTTAAAAGTCCACGCCTTGTTTGGTTGATGAAAAAATATTCTGTAAAAAATCCACACTTTGTTTGGTTGATGAAAAAATAATTCTTTTAAAAAATCCAGGCCTTGTTAGGTCATTGAAAAATATTCTTTAAAAACACTCTGGTTCCCTTCAAAAATCCAGTTATTTCCCACATCTAACCGTTACGTACGGCATTTACACATAAAACAGCTGTTTCCTTGGGTTACGTTACGTCTTTGACTAACTGCATACCATTTGACATTTCCTGCTCAAGGTAAAGGTAAAAGAGCAAGCAACCAAAGACTAGTTGCCAAAATAGCACTGATACGTTATAACAACGTCGTTGTCTTTGGTCTATAGTTTATTGGAGTTGTTGATGAATTAAAACACAGCGGTTATAATAACAACCATTAATAACTATTTTATTTAATATTAGTTCAAAAGACAATAAATAGGAGTTCAATTTCAATGATGTCGATTTGCCACAACTGTGGTGTTGAAGATTTCGCGAGCAACTAACTTTTGCTTTCTTCTTTGTTGTCTCTTGTCAGAGTTGCCATCTCTCGTATTGTTTGTTAACGGCGGTAACGGAGATGCCACAACCACTCCCCCTCCAGTGACACAGTCACGATCATCCTGGAAAGATATGTTCCTAGCTGATGGAGTAGGTGCGGTTGAATTTTCAGAAGGAGATTGCGGCGTATTTTGACTGTCATTTGATGATGTGTTTTGAGTAGAAATCGCAGTCTGGTTATGATTTGATGTGATGCTTGGATTCGAATCGTCGAAGTCGAAAACTGGTTTGAGACGATCGACTGTAACGTTGACGTCTTTGTCTTTAATTCGAATTGTGAATAATCGATCTGTAATTCTGTTGATCACTTCATAAGGTCCAGTGTATGGAGGTTGTAATGGTTCTCGTACAGCATCGGTTCGTAGAAATACATGTGAGCATGTGTCGATGTTTTTGAGTTTGAACATTTTGTTCTTGATGTGATGTGCAGTAGGTACTGGACGTAAAATTCTAAAATGTTCTCGAAGTTTTTGAAGAAACTCGGCAGGATCAGCTTGTTGACTATGCTCTTCGTAGAATTCATTGGGAAGTCGCAACTGACCACCATAGAGAAAATCTGCTGGTGAGGCTTGAAGGTCTTCTTTAAATGCAGATCGGAGTCCAAGTAAAACTGTTGGTAAAATATCAACCCAGGAAACTGTCGGATGACACATTAACGCTGCTTTGAAAGTACGATGCCACCTCTCAACCATACCGTTGGATTGAGGATGGTACGCTGTTGTACGGGCTCGTTGTGCTCCGGTTAGTGCTGCTAAGGATTTAAAAAGACTTGATTCAAATTGAGTGCCTTGGTCAGTTGTTATTGTTTTTGGGCAACCAAATCTAGAAACCCATGTTGACCAAAATGCACTAGCGACAGTTTGAGCGGACATGTTTTTGAGTGGAACAGCTTCAGGCCATCTGGAGAATCGATCAATCATTGTGAGACAGTATCTGAAGTCCTGCACATGTGGCATAACAACGATGTCTAAATGCACATGATCAAATCGATTATCTGGAACATCGATTTTGTTCGGAGTTAAACGAGAATGTCTGGTAATCTTCGCTTTTTGACAATGAAGACAGCGACGACAATAATTGATGATATGTTTTTTCATTCCGGGCCAGATGTACCTTGTTCGAATTTGCTGTAGAGTTGAACGACCACTAGGGTGTGAAAGTCCGTGTACAGCATTGAAAATTTCTTTCCGCAATGCTTCTGGAATGTATGGACGGACATGTCCCATTGAGATGTCACAATATATTGATGTATTTCCGAAGTGAATTATTTGCAGCTTCAAAGAATTGTTACCTTCAATTATAGTTTTTAACTCTTCGTCGGATTCTTGAGATTTTTGAATGTCTTCGTGTGAGACGCTTGACGGCATTGAGATTTCGTTGAGTCTTGAAAATGCATCTGCAACTGTATTACTAGGTCCAGAAAGATATACTATATCTGTAGTGAACTGTGATATAAAATCTAAATTTCGGAGTTGTCTGGGGGATGCTTTCTCAGGTCGTTGAGAAAATGCATATATGAGCGGTTTATGATCGGTTTTGATGACGAAATGTCGTGCTTCCAGCATGTGTCGAAAATATTCCACTGCTTTGTAAATGGCGAGCAATTCTCGATCGTATGTGCTGTACGCTCTTTCGGATTTTAGTAACTTACTCGAGTAAAATCCCAGAGGTCTCCATATACCGTTGAAGTTTTGTTCTAAAACAGCACCGACGGCAGTGTCTGATGCATCCGTTACCAATGCTAGTTCTAGGTCTGGAGCTGGATGTGCAAGCATTGTGGCTTCACAAAGACTTTGTTTGCAGGTCTCAAAAGCGGTTTCTAATTCCGGTGTCCAAGGTACTTTGCGTTTGTCGTTTTTCTTGGAATTCCCAACGAGTTCGTTTAAGGGTGCTTGTTGATGTGCTGCGTGGGGTATACAACGTCTGTAGTAGTTTATGACGCCAATAAAACGACGAAGTTCGCAGATAGTTTCTGGTTTCTTGTAATTTTTGATAGCCTCAATACGATCTGTAGGCGGAGAACAACCATTTGCGTTACCTCAGGTACACCAAAATGACATTTGTTCGGATTAAAATATCGGCGTAAAATTTCGAAGACTGTACGAAGATGTTCTCGATGTTGTTGTGGCGATTCTGACATAATGATGATGTCATCAATATAACAAAAAACGAAGTCAATCCCCTAAACACGTTGTCTATGAAACGTTGGAAAGTTTGTGTGGCGTTCCTTAAACCAAATGGCATGTACAAAAATTCTAGAAGTCCGAACGGTGTACATACTGCTGTTTTTGCGATGTCTTCTTCAGCCATTGGTATTTTCGGGTAAGGTCAAGTGTAGTAAAAATTGACTTACCATAAAAGTTTTCAGAAAAATCGTGAATGTGTGCCACGGGGTATCGGTCTGGGACTGTTTGTGAGTTGAGTTTACGATAGTGCCAACCACCAGTTTTCTTCGCGACCATATGTATTGGACTACTCCAAGCAACGGACGACAAATACCTTGTTCGACTAGATAATCCATTTCGGCTTTAGCTGCTTTTAATTTATCACCTGAAAGACGGCGTGGACGATCAGCAACTGGAGTTCCTGTTGTTTCGATGTGATGAACGACGACCAATTCATCTGTTGGCTTTCGAAGCGTTGTCGTTTTTGTAATATCTTCAAACTCCTTTAGCAGGTCTGCGAAGGGTGATGCGGAATTCAATGTCGAAATTCCAAACTCTTTGGTTTGTAAAATGTTACCACGAGTGGATAATTTGGTTTTGTTGTCAATGAGACGTTTTTGTTTGAGATCAATAAGTAAATCAAAATTGACTAGAAAATCGGCACCTATTATTGGGGTGTGTACTTCAGCTATCACAAACAACCATTTGAATTCTCGTCGAAGTCCGAGGTCAAGTTTCAATACACAATCACCAAAAGTTTTGATTTCGCTTTGGTTAGCAGCCAAAAGCGCAAGTTTGGATGGCTTGAGTTTCTGCTTTATCATAGAAGGAGGTATAACTGATACCGCCGATCCAGAATCTATGAGAAATCGGGTATTTGTTGATATGTCGTAAAGATGTAGACGTCTTTCACATGAGTTGTTGCTGCTGTCGCCAACCGATTTGACTGACGACAGCCGAGTTAGTTTTCCGGCTGGAATTTTGCACAATCAGGTTTACATTTTCTTGCGTTGTCGCCAAATTTTTGATGGAAGTAGCATAAATTCCGCTGGTTTGAATTCTGTCCACTTGTTGAACGATTTCGGGATTTGGAACGATGTCGTGTGTTCTTACCAATTTGTTGTTGAATTTTGTCGACTTTCTCCGAAAGTTCCCTTATTGTTTGGCACATATCGGTGAAAGACATTCGTTGGTTAATGGCATCAACAACTGGTTGTTGCAATGTAGAAAGAGAATTAACACAATTGTTGTTGTTGGCTTCAAACATTTTATCAGCGGTCTTCGCCAATTTTTCGAGGTCTTCTTCCTCCCAGGCGGTAAGAAAAGGTCTCATGTTTTCAGGCATTTGTCCAAGAAACAGTGTTCGGATTATTGCCTCATTTCCTTTCCCTGGTGCAAGTCGTTTCATGTGTGCCAAAATTGA